GATGATGATGATGATGATGATGATGATGATGATGATGATGATGATGATGATGATGATGATGATACGTAGTATTCATCCTATGTTCCATCATGTTCCATCCAATAACCACCCCTTCCGCGGTGCTGGCTTATGATCATTTATGTTTCTTTCAACCCGTCGTCGCTGTGCTTTCGACCCCCTCTCGCCTCCGTGGCCTCCGCGCGAAAGCGCACCTGCGGCGGCGCCAGCAGGCGCAGGACGGCGGCGGGACGCAAGGTGCCACTGCCAGGGAGGCGGAGGTCCTGAGAGAGCTGGAAAAGGTGGACCTGGATCCTTCCAGGCATGAACATATTCTTGATGATGAAAAAATATGCCCAGATCTAGCATGTTCATCGATGATGATCGATATACTTGATCAATGTCGCTTGTTTTCAGTCTGAGGTTTGGCACTGGCCAGGCGACGAGTGTGGAGACTTGATACCATGGCACATCGACCATCTCATCCACCCTCTGTTCAGTGTGAAAACCGAAAAGGACCCCGGCCCTTTCTTTTGGCATGCGTAATTCAACCACTACTCCCAGAAACGGTGGTCCACACATGCCAATGCCGTGACCCTCCAAAATCTCCAAAGCTCGTTTCGGTCGGATTTTCGGAACCAGTCACTGTAGCTGTGACACTGTCACTGTGTCCATTGTAGTGCTACTTGTCGGGCCTCCTTCAACACCTCCAATGCTGGTGCCTCGATTGAATGTCACAGCTGAGGAACTGAGATCTTCAGCGTGTCGACCAGGCCAAAGGTGGAAAACGGTTTCCTGCAAGGACGAAAGCGGCAATAGCAGGGAGGGGCGGTGTCCCTTCTACCACGCTGGCGACCACACCAGTCATTTCCAAGTCTTCCGCGACTGTTAACTGCTGCGGCCTGCACCTCTCCCTCCAGATTCTGAGCCTGGAAGAAGGCCAACCGGGCCGCACCCAAGGGACGCCAGCCATAAGGAACTCCCTGCAGGTGCTTGGCTTCCTGCTTCAAGGGGGAATATGGAGACACCCGGCTCCGAAGTCGCTCCCACTTAACCAACAGCTATAGCAAGGATCATAAGATTGCAAGAGGAGCCCAAGGCCTGCTTCATTGCTACTTGAACCAGCAGTGCCAAACTAGTTCCCAAAAACAAATAACACCAAGCCAACACCTCCTCCCACCCAAAAAGCGGGTCGGACGCTCACTTGCCATCTGAGCATCAAAAAGCCGCTGGCCACTTGCAAGGAGACACCCGTGGTCTCCCAGAGCTCTGAGGAGAGCTGCCAACTCCTCACCTCACCCTGCGCAGAACAAACAGCACTGAGTCGGCACCGGACGGTCTACGGGACCGGACGGTGAGGCTGGAAGGGACAAGGCGTGGGAACTGCACGGTTGCGGCGGGGCCGGTCTGTATCTGATGGGTCTTTGGTGTCCCAGAATCACAAGGCTTGCGGCATGTTATATCATGTTGCATAGGCCTGGGCCTTCGCAACTTAGACTTTGGAGTGAACTGGCGGTGACTGGCAGAAAAGCCAGATCTGAACACTTGGTGTACCCCGGCAACATGGCACCAGTACTGGCGCGGAAACCCGTACTTCAGCGTGAGTTCACCGTGATGCCTCTCAAGACAAGGATCCTCCCAAGTCATGGTTGGAGTGAAAAGCAGCTCAAGAAGTATCATTCATGTCATTCTAGTTCACTCTTCAAAAACAAACAATATATATGTATGTATATAGAATATAGAATGTATAAAATATAACATGATATTCAATATACACTATAAGTATATACTGGCACTCTGGTGACTTGGCTCTTGAAATGTAACCTTTGACAATACCTCTGACCTCTGACTTGTCCTATTTCACTGGAGGGCATTATATTATCAAGGAGATGCTGATCAGTTGCTCACACTCCCAAAAACTCCCAGCCTCAACCATCCCAACAGGTGCTGCAGAACCATCCAAAGGTCCCTTGCTGGGGTGCGTCGTCCATAGATAGAAGCCGTAGCCGTCGTCGCCGGACTCGTCGCCCACCTTCCGTCCGGTGGGGGGCCACTGGCCATGCGTGAACCAGTGCGTTCCCTTTGAAGAGGAAAAACAACAAATTAGCAAGGACTAGCTCCTGGCATTACTACTAGAGGCTACTCATCAGGAGCATTTCGGGCATCGCTACGAACGGAGCGAGATCTCGGACGCGAACCGAACGTAGCTCCGGCCGATGCGTCGACTCTGTGGGAGCAGATCCAGCCGTTGACTCGTGTGAGCCCAGAAATCGAACCCTCCAAATAACGGCATAAAAGGCTGGCATAGCTGTGCTGCACACATCTTCAATGACCTTGTTCCTGCGCTGTAACCAATGACCCCCCCTTCCTTCCATCATCCTGTGCCTCTCCCGTCGGGTTGGTGATCAGCAACTGGAATCCATAGCGCCACTTTCCCCGGAGCCATCCGCCCAGCTTCAACTCGGCACGGTTAAGTGCAGTTCCCGCAGTCCTTTGCCGGGGGGTTTGGCTGGTACTGCAGGGCCCTGGGTCTGGCAAAGGGCGAGCGCCTGGTAGCACACCTGGGCAAAGCAAAGGTAAGGTCGTCCTGAAACGCATCGTTTAGCCCAGGGCCTATACGCAAATTGTGGCATTGAAACTTGAAACGATACTCCGTGGAGACCCATTGCCGAAAGATGCTGCACTAGAATGACGAAGCAAATGCATGATCTGACATGCATGCGGTGAAATCACTGCACCACAGTCTAGAGCATCCAAGAATGCGCGGCAAGTCAACTGGGTCTTGCAGTCACAACCTACTAGGAACAAGAAGCTACTAGGGGCTCCTGGCCTCACTACTAGGAGCAAGAAGCTACTAGGGTCTAGGGTTTCAATATGTTTCAATACCATGAGACACTTGGTGACTCCCCGTGGCGTTCTTTCGCTGCGGCTCCAGCGGCCGTGGCGGCAGCCGGTGAGGTCGAAGTGCAGGGGACCGTCGAGCACCAGGCTGCCATTGGGCGGGACTTCTTGCAAAGGCTTGAAGAGAATGCTCAAATTGTTGGGGCCTCAGCTGGACGTCCACGTTCCGTCCTGAGATTGTTCAGGGGCTGGTTCCTTTTTATGCATTTTCTCAGATTCGTTTTGCCTCAGCCTCAGCTGATTTGGGCATCTTCTGATGTCCTTCACTCTGCGGCTTTTGTGCGTTGTGGGGCTTTTTTGAGATGTTTGATATTTGTGAGGATTTGTTCCACAACGGGGTCTCCTTCCCAAGCTGGCGGGCGGGGTCTCCTTCCCAAGCTGGCGGGATCTGTTCCAAAGATTCTTCCTCATCATGCTGAGGAAATCCTCAGTCTCTCTAGGGGTGTGGCTTTAGCCCCTAGAATCCTAGTTGGCAAACGACCATGACAACCTTCGTCCTTTGGTTCGATGTACGACCCGCGATGCGAGCGCCCCACCAGTTCCAGGGCGCGCCACCAACTGCAACCGGTTCCTGGCTGCAATTCTTCGATGACCCCACCAGCCCAGCCATTCCCTTCCTCCGAAGCACTCCCACGCCCAAAGGCGCTGGGTTGCAGCGTGGCCTCCAACAAACCCAACACTGCGACGCCGCCCGTCCAGAGGTCTTCGTCCGACGCACCTGGCTGACGACGGTCGGCTTCACCGTATTGCGCGATACGCAACAGAAAGTATCTCAGATCTCGTTCGAGGTCATCCTACGCAAGCAGACTGTCGAAGCCACATCCCCCTACAGTTGAGCCATGACCCCCAAATACCCATGAAAGTCGACTTGTGCCGCATTTGTTGCCACATCCTGCAATTCAAAGACCCCAGAACATGGCATTAGTCTTACAAGATGGCTGCAATTGTTGAAGGAAGAAAACCTATACCTGAAACTTGAAACCAAGGATAACAAAGGACATCCCGCACCTCTTGTGTAGAGAAGGGTGGCTTTGAGCCGGCCTGTCCTTCACATCCATAAAACCAGTTTCTACAACCCATCATAAGACCAGGGCACTGAAGGTCCAGTCCACCGAGTATAGCTCTCCTGACTCTGGGCGAGTGAATCCATCGGAAGAGGGAGATAGCTCCAGACGGACATATACATCTGACTATACAATACTATACATCTGTCATTGGTTTGATTTGGTTTGAAGGAACAGCCGCGGGAAATGAGGGCTTTCAACCCCAACATCTCCCAAAACTATGGGCTGCCTGTAGATGTTCAAACCAAGATAACCAAGTCTGGCAATATGCAAGTGCATGAGCACTTCTCGGTCAAGTCAACCATAGAGGGTGGGCTAAACCCCGTTTAAAACACGCCTGAACCTCGGTGTTTCTCGGTCTTTCTTATCCAAACTTGTGCCGCAACTTGGCTCACCTCTTCGTCCCAAGACTCCATTGTCTCGTTCGCCCCGGCTGCTCAGGCGCACGGTCCAGGCAGCAAGAGCCAAGGGCTGCGAGGGGTTCAGGAGCTCCAGCGCGAGGAAAATCGGCTGAAACAGATGCAGCCGGATTTCACCAAGCCTTGGAGCGGTTTTCACCGAGCCCCCCTGTCCCTTTCCTCAGGATACGACAGGTCCTGCACCCCAAAATCGAACCATAGACTGGGGTACAATAACTATGACTCAGACTGCTGTGACCCGCACAGCCGTGAAGAAGCTTCCTCATGCAACCTCCTGAACACAACAAACCAGGAGTCATACTCGTGCGCGCGTCAAGCGCAGGCTGGCATAGTGTTTTTTCCCCACCTCTGCTCACGATCCACCGCCCCCAATCTGATCCACCGCGATCCACCATGATCCACCGCCCCCGAATTCTGACCGCCGAAATGGATCGTTTCCAGCTCCTTTTTCCACCCGAAAATGATCCGTTTCTGTTCCAGAGGAGCATCCTGTCCGGGCGTCCGACGTCTGGATTGTATACCTACTGTACCCACTCATTACTTGGGGGATTTTGCGCTGGACACTCAAGGTCAGGGACCCAAGCCACGAATAGAAGCAGCTGCTGGTGCCCAAGGCTCCCAGACCTTCGCCCTGGAGCGCGCCGCGGAGCACGTCCGGGAAGCCATCCAAGTCTCGGTCCTGGAGTTCGGTTGGGGGGGCGCACCGGGCGCCCCAAAGACAAGCAGCCAAGGGATGGGACACGGAGACAGAACGAGCCTCCCAAGAAGCTGAGGCACAATTGATTGGAATATGACATGCTGAATGATACTGGACATTGACATGAAGTGGCAGAAAAAGAACACCCACACTACGAGTACCCATCCCCTACGCATTTCCTACCCATCCCCACCCCGCCCGTGGTGCGCTCCAGCCGAAGCAAGGTCTCCAACTGCCCATCGAACACCGCCGCACCCTCTCCGCGCAGCAGCGCGGCGCCGGAGGAGGGCACCACGCTGGCCGGTAAAGGACCCAGCAAATCACAGGCCAGGCCTTGCGGAGGGAAGATCCTGAGCCAAGATCCAACGTGAAAAACAAAAGTCCCTTTTTGCGGATCGAACGAGTACGACCGGATTGGAATGAAGGATGGGATTTGGAGCGATCCGAGCACCTAGTGGTGAGGCCTCATATGTCTCAAATAGATCGACAAATCGATCGATCGACCGATAAGTAATACACAATAAAAAAGAACATAAGATGGATGGATGGATGGATGGATGGATGGATGGATGGGCAGATGGATAGATTGATAATTACTGTAGATATGATTAGTTTTGTTCAGATTAGATAGACAGTTCAAAATAGATAGTTAGTAATTAAAGGTAGTTGAATAGATGGATGGATAGTAGATCGATAGATAGGTAGACTGATAATTAGATACATATACTGCACATAAATATGCATACATAATCATATTGAAAAATATGTGTGTATATATATATATACATAAATATATATATATATATTATTATATATATACAGCGTTTCTCCTCCCAGTGAATTGTTAAATCAAATCTCATTTGGTGGCTTCCCGTCGATCCCGGCACGCACCACACTACAGCAATCAGGGGCCAAGGCACTCAAGGGTTGACGTGGCCCCTGTCGTAGCTGGAGGCTGGATCTGAGCATACCTGGGCCCGCATCTGAGCTCCGTGCACTTGTGGCGGTTATTCCATAGAAAGCTGTGAGACGGCAAAATGAGACGTGAGATAAGCCAATGCAAGTGGAAAAAAAGCGGGAGAGGCTGGACATATATCACCCAGGGTAACTGGTGGGACCCGCTGAGTTCTGTAGTACTGTACCCTGTTTTGATCGTATATGACCATATATAGGCCTGTAACTAGGCATGTAGCAAGCCGAGAATGGCTCCCTTTGTGCAATGGCCCCGTTTACAACCAAAAGTCAATTGGCTGCTTCCATTCTCAACCAGCACCTCCCCACAGCCAGCAGCAACCCTGATAAAGAATTGCATCATGGTTATGGGAAGATGCTAAGATGGGTGGTGACCAAATTAGGACCCCAACATATAATCTCAACATATACCTAAAGCTCAAAGGATGTCAAAGCACGTATATTATACATCCAACTCCAACCCATCAGCCAATTTCCCCAGGCACACACACACACACATTCTGCAAGTCTGACTTTTCTTACCTTTTCTTTGTTGGTCTAATCCACTTTATCCACAGAAACTTCCACCCACCACCATCCAAGTCCACAAACCTTCCAAAACCCAGGCACTCCATGTCATGTATGCCATATATGCCTACATTGACCCTCCCCAAACCACCCCAATGTAGGCAAATATGGCAGTCGCATCGCCTCTGGGAAATACTCCTAAATGCAACCGATGCTGCAGCCAATTCCTCTTCCCCACAAAGGGCATGGGCCCAAAGCCCTGCCGCCCGCTCCTCACCATGCGCGCCACACCGCCGGCGACGGCGGCCGCACTGCCCGGCGTCGTTGCGACACCCGAGGCGAAGTAGCCAGCAGCGAGGTACCTCGGTGCCAGCAGCGACGGCGCGAAGCTTTAGTCTAAGGCTAAGGGGTCCCGCCATCTGAAGCTTCATTAGATTATTATTCACCTTTCATCAGGGAGTGCAAAACAGGATCAAGGCAGAATCCACCGCCCTGTCGGAGTGGCTCTGGCTCAGTGTCGAAGACCGTGGTGACCTCTGCGTGGAGCAGCGCCGGGAACAGCACACCCACGGGCATCGGCAGGCCAGTCACCTGCGGGTGAAGACCAAGATCCGTTTTCATCTGCTGTAGCTCGGATTTGCTGGCCAGGAACCGGTAAAATCACGTACGAGTACCAGGGGATCTTGACCCCTAGCAAACCATGAGGGACAAAAACTCACCCGATCGGCCAACCCTTCAAAGGGGGGTTGAGTCTGATTTTTCATCCCCGGCCAAGCCCTCCAACACTCAAACGGTCTTGAGTGGTCTTGTTACGGCTCGGAAGTGGGGTTCTCCGGTTCGGAGGCGTTCAATACATTCTGAACATGTCTTAACCACCATGAACATGGTGGCGATGGGTCGACCAACCCACCCGAACTCCGTGGTGCTGGAACAAGTCTTAATGATATCGACATCAACTACAGCGGTTGACTAGCCGAACCGCTGGTCTCTACCAGCCCAACCGCTAGAGACATCTGGGCCCCAGATCCTGGGTCGACTCAGTGCCATGAAAAAACCGCCGTGGGCACCGTGAGGAGGTGGGCAGCGGCTGCAAGATCCACCGTGGGCAGCTGCAACTTGAGGATGGCATAGCGCTCCTGGCAGCATGCTTTGTTCGGGGTAACCGAGTCACTGATCAGCAGAGATCAGCAGAATCTCCAAAAACATCGGCCTAGGCACACGCAGCGAAGCCATATGGGCATATATTGGCATATGTGTGCAATATATTGTAATCGTTCATCCGCCAATTCACCTTTTCCCATGCTATGCTTGGTGAGGGAGAGCAGATCTGTTTTCTGTGTCCAACCCGTCACGGCTCGGCCTCTCCCCCGCTCCCACCAAACCCACGGAGCTCTTTCCCCACCCCATGGGAATCATCGAGGGGTCGATTTGGTACCATATACCGTACGCATTGGTTGTTCACTTGGCAGTCTTCCGCATCCCCCTTCCCTTTTTAGTCCACCAACCCAATAGTCAAAGGCCATCTTATGTCGGCTCCAGCTCGCTCTCGAAGGTCCGGGGCAAAATCCGTTCCACGCTGCACGTGCTGCTGCAGCTGCCCGGCGGCGCGGCGCAGCTCGCGGCGCAGCCACCTGGTTTGTGGACGCCCAACTACCCTCCACGACTATGGATGAATTGGATTGAATTGGTCTATCATGGTCTATCATCATACCCCCGAACATCTCCGAGTTGCTTGGGCAAGATTCGGGATGGCTAAGAATGACCCAACCGGTGGGAACGAAGAATGACCCCACCACCCAACAAAACGACACACACAAAAGGCCGCACAAAACGTCTTCTTAAAGACGTTCTTCTCCACTCTGTTCGTCCTCATCTCCAATGCCGCCTATCTCCACCGATGCCCCAACTGTTCTTCCGTCTCTGACCACGTCGACTCCCACGTCGAGTCGAGCGAACAGCACGCCAAAACTTTCGCCTCGGACACTCCACTGTGTGAAGGGCGCCATGAAAAGGCGAAGCGTTTGCCCTGCTTGGATGGGCGAAGTCCTTGGATGTACAAGTGATCATCAAGTGATCACAATCCATGCTGCCGCTTAAGGACATCCACAATGGTTGACAGCGAAAGGACATCGAAAGGATCCTCCCGTCAATTGTGGAGGAGAATCCTCTTGCACATGCCGCTTGAGACACAAAAGGATTCTCCTCCACAATTGTTGACAGCGAAAGTGAGCTTCATGAAATTGGGTCAGCCAGAATCCAACACCACCACCTGCAATCGGCAAGGAGATCCTCCAAACACGCCCTCCCATGCAGGTGTTCACTCACTTCGCACGTGATCGAACACTTCCAGAGCTATCGAGATGAAAATCGGCTCCGCTCCACCCCTGCCCACGGTTCCTCCCAGCTCAATCTTGGATTTCCGCATGATATATCGAACTTACAAAAGGTTCCCCAAACGAAGATTGACAATCAGGGCACCCTATAATGATCCTTCAAAGAAAACATCGCCAGACCAGCTTGATGCGAGGCACGTGGTGAGCCGGAGCCCTAAGACTTGCGTCCATAGAAGCACCCCGTCGCTGCCTGCCTCGCGCAGCGCCACGGAGAAGCCGCCGCCACTGCCCGGCTCAGTGCGCTGCTCGGAGACCACGGAGGCGCGCTCATAGATCTGGTAGCGCCTCAGAAGGTCTGCTGAACATCATCTTCGATGTCCTGTCGGTTGAGAACTCTTCAAAGCCTGGCCTGTCGCAGCCACCATGGGCGAAGGAGCAGGCCGCATCGATGTCGAGCACCTCTTGCCCGATCGTGAGGTCAGTGGCCACCGCATCCAAGACCAGCTGGTAGGTGCAGGAGCTACCGGGGCATTGATTCCGCAAGCCACCTGATCTGCGAGAAAGTATGGGGGAGACAATCCCCAAGGTATTTCAAAGGATGCTCTGGGTCACTTTGGTTGGTGAGTTGGTTACTTGACAAACCTTGTTCTAGGCCAAATCAAGTTCTTCAGGTGGCTTCAGCTTTCGGGGTTTGCCTGCGCAGGACTTCGGGATTCATCGCGTGGATCAAGCCCGGATGTGATCTATAATGGTGGGATGACCCCAGACGTACAGCATTTAAAAAGTGCATTCAGGACAAAGCATGCCCCCGAGCGTTCTTCCGTCATGGACGTGTCTGAATTTCGACCAACCTGGCACGACTCAATGCCGCCCAGGTCACTCATGCGCTCAAAGAGGATGAAGAGCTCCCGCCTCACCCGTTTCACCGGAGAACATGCCAAACCTGTCTGCAACCCCGGCAGCAACGGGCTGCAAGCTAAGTGCTGGTAGATTCACCTGTTCAAGGGAGCTTCTGCTTGCGGGCGCGCCCATTGTCAGCTTCAATCGGAAAAGGTTCCAAAAGTCTTGGGTCTGGAACGTCTTGTGGATAGACATGTCACACTGTGCCTCAGGCAAAGGGGCTATATAAATATGCAACTGAGTTGCTGATGTGGCTCGCCGTTCGCGCCCAGGTCGCTCATCCAACAACCTAGCGAAAGCGTGCTTTCCCCTGGCAAAAGCTTTGCGCAATAATCTCGTTGGTGCAATGTCTTCTCAAAAATGTACTACATGTGTATATATATATATAGTTATATACCATCTTGATCCCCAAGTCACTCTCTCAGCTGATCAGGCTTGAAACAATGATATCTTCTGTGCTCCAAACTGCTTACTTTGTTTCATGTCTGCTCCATCTCTGCAACAGGGTTCCAAACATTTCAATCCTCCGAACCGCCGGCAGGCCTGCAAGTCCATCCCAACAGTCATAACCTCCCAAGTCCCGCCCAATCCAGCTCCACCATCAGTCAGAACGGTCATAACTTCTCCAGCGCAAGTGGCTATACCCCAATGGCAGCCTTATCCTGCCCACCCATCCCACCATATCCCACCCAACCCAGCACCCTGCGCTCAGTGACTCACCGGCACTGGAAAGCCACTCGCCGCATCCGACCAAAGCTCGGTGAAGAGCGCGCCGCAGGCGCCCTGCGTGGCGCCCACAGAGGGGCCCGCGGGCAAAAGGCCTTGGAGGGGCTAGTTCATGAACGTCCACCTTGTGGGGGTTTTTGCTGGGAGTATCGGGTATGATCAGGAATACGACATAAAACCCGGGATGGGGATCCCAAGAAGCCGGCGAACAAACGTGTCCAGCACCCGTGCCCCCGCCGGAAAGAGGTTAAGGCCCTGGGCCAGGGGTGTGCATGAACACCATCCTGATCGTGGGCCCTTGGAGGAACAATGATTGAAACCCACATCATGCAAATACTCCCGATGATATGAAAGAGACCCGTTTGGTCAAAAATGGGCAACTGGCGTGTAACTCTAATCAGTCATCACCAATCCATCCGTCAGCATCTTCTCTGACTTGGAGTTCCCTGTCGTTTCTTCATCTCAGACAGCTATGGTGGAAAGTCTGAGCACCTGGGCCTAGTCCTCACCCTGTCCTCACCCAGTCCTCGGCCCAAGCTGTGGCCCTGGCTGCTGTTGAGGAAGCGCAAGCCCAGCAGCATGTGGCCAGTGGATTGTTCTGAGCGAATTCGAGTTCGTTGGGTGAGGTCGTCTGAGGACCTTCTGCAAACAACTGGGGCCTTCGTGTGGTTTTACCTCGTGTCCTCCAAGCAAACATCGCCGGAGGGTCAGATGATGTTCTGAAAAAACAATTCCGTGAGCACCGTGAGCGTTCGAACCTGCAGTGGGTTTCAGAGGAGATGGCACTGGCACCCCTCAATGTATTTGATTTTGGGGTCCATATCAACCACCAAACCCTCTGAAACCGTTGGATGTGGGCCGCCTGCACCTCCCCACCCCAGCCCGTCCGCCCCGTCCGACCCGAGCGGCGATACTCGACCACGGCCCGGGAGGGCGAGAAGGAGATCAGCACGGCGGACGTCGATCCACTGCGGCGGCTGGTCAATCCGAGGCGTGCACCTGGCGCGAAGCCGATGCGTTGTGACACGGTCTGGCTTGATTACCTGAGGTCCGTGGACTGCCATCTCCTGCCACTTCACACGCCCAGATCTATCCCTTTGGAACTTCCTTGGGTGAACTGACCGACACAACCGGACCATGCGGACCATGCGTTTCTCTTTTTGACCCACCCACCCAACAGTACCTTTGGGACATCTTTGTGGGGGGACCCACCCAACCCCTTCCCGGCCGACTCGCCCGCTAGCACCGAGCGGCCCAGGAGTTCGGGTGGGTCGGTGAAGCTCACTGTGCCAGCTTCGCTGTAGAACTGCACTGCACCGCCCTCGTTGGGCGCCCAGCAGACCTCGCGACGCGGCTTCGGGTGGATCTTGGCGTCAAACGTCTAAGAAGTGTATAGAACTTAGAACTTAACTTATGACTCATAAGGCTCATACAACATCCTGATATATACAGAAGTGTGGGCACACCTCTCGGGTCATTAGGTACGATAATCCATGATAGTCTGATAGAACCCACTCATGCTTCCTGGGTGAAAACAGGTGAAAGCCATCTACACAGGGCGTCCTTCGGCTTGCCAATTTCACCATTTAAGGCCAAACCTTGGCATACCGACCATAGAAGATAGAAATACATAAAGAATCACAAAGAAGGTTGATCTTGACAAACATTAGTACCCACGCCTCAAAGCACACAGAGGCACCGACACTTGAGGTAAGAACACCATAGCTTTCGCCTTACGCTATCTGGGAAAAAAGGTCCGCAGGCCCCACTGGTTCTTAAATCCTCCTCCCTCTCCCCGTTTCGACGAGACTCGGGGAGGTCAGTTGCCAAGCTATCTGCTTTCAGCTCCTCCTGTGCTGCAGAGCCGCAGGAAGCGGGCGTTTTGGTGGGCAGCTGCTCGAGCAGCGGTGGATCAAGATCAGTTGTAGTGGATGGAGAGGTGAGATTCACAATCCCCAAGTTGGGTGGTTTATATGGACCCACATCTAAAAGACACGTATAGGATCATATAATCATATAAAGGGTTTGTACCCCCTACTGCCTCTACTGTGAAACCGCTACAGTGAGAAACATGGATACAAGAATGAGCTTGCGCGCCAAGAGTGGACCTTAGTATGGTGGCAAGAATGTGTGTAATGAAATGGCAGGGACAGGGGCCTACTGAACAAGTTGTTGGCGCATGCAAACTCTGCTTCGACGACCACGAGCCCTGGCGGCCCTCCAGCCACGATAGCGACTCTCACGAAAAAGGGACTTGACACTCGACAACACCCAAAACCCAATCTGTATCAACCTGTCAATTCTTGAAGGCATTATGGACTCAGCAGCTCGCCCTCAATGTCAAGGCTGCTCCAAGAATTCCGATTTCTTCCACGCCATCCTTGGTGATCTCCCACCCCACCCCAACCCCAACCAAAACTCACTTGCGCGATTGTTTGGAGGCCGGTCTCCTCCGAGTCGAGGCGGTTGGCACGAAACCACTGCAGCTGCCCCGGCACGAAAGAGAACGCGCGGCGGGCGTCGGATGCCTCGGGCGGGGCGAACGATGCGCGGGACCCGCCGCTTCGGCCGCCGCAGCTACCTGCTCCCAACAATGCAGAATTCCATGTAGGCAAACCTCCATGCATCCGTTGGTTGAAGTGAGTTGGAAAATGATGGCGTGTTTCTTGATCCTATTTGATCCTATGAACATAAGGTGAAACGGGGAACATCCTCTATCATCCTCTGATCCAAAAGAAGCATGATCTAACCAACCTCTTCGGAAGTCAAGTCTGAAGATCCCTGAGTTCACTGCGTTCAGTCTATCATACCAGCAACCCCACTCCAAGCAAGAGCAAGGCCTAAGTGTTCTTCAGTCAGAGGCCGCCACGTAGCCATACGTAAACCGTCAATCCAAACGGATGGAATGATTGGGCTTTAAACGGATCCGGGGCACTCGAAACCGGATTTGGCTCCGAGAGGCCCAGCCCATCGGGATCCGAACCCGCTTGGACTCGTCCGAACTGCCCTGGACGTATGACGGGGGTGCCGGGTTCGGCCGAACCCGAACGGCCGAGAAAGCGAAGCTGCGGCATGAGGGAACATGGACTAACATAGTCATAGAAGAATCTTTTCGTGTAGGCAGTAGTATGTGTAGCTAAAACAGGATTGAATCATGTTGAATCTTGAGGGACTTTCTGGTGGTGCACGATCTGCTCTCAGCGCCAGGCAAGCCGGTGGCCGAACTCCGCGCGTCAAGCCAAAGCAGCCCTGCTTTTCGAACATGCAAAATACACCAACACATTGATTTCTTCACCATCTTGCAAGCCACCTTAGATTTATCATCTCTCGGCTGTGGTTATTCACCGACTTGCCGCTTGAGAGCCTCCCAACCGCCCGAAACCCTGCCTCCTCGGCTAGGACTTGGACGTAGTGCCAGTGTTGGAGGAAGAACTTGCTAGGATCATCCTGGATCTATCAACACCAACATCTGCCTCCAACAAACATGGTTTACGTGGAACATTGCCTCTTAGGGAAGAAGAATGGTTTCCTCTGCAAACCGGTGCTTTCCGTGATTGTTTCAGGTCTGTCCAAAGACGGTCTGTCAACACAACATGCTCGCCTGTTACAAGTCTGGCCGCTGAACTGTTGTGGTGTCACATAATTACCTTGTCAGAGACACCCCATTTCCGATAATATGGCCACTGGCTTTATGGAGGGTGGATGATGGTGGATTCTGATTGAATGACCAACACGTAAAGATTAGACAATAACATGCAGAAAGTACTGCGGACCGCTCACAACACCTTCCTGGCGCACAATCCGACATCATCCACCCCCTGCAAGTCCAATTTTCCATCCAGGGTTGAAACTGTTCAGTCAAAGACGTAGGTCCTCCGTGTGCGTGTGCGAAGGGTTGGTGGTCACTTACTCTACGTTCAAATCCTCAATCAGTGAAAGGCCACTAGCATCATTTAGCAACATATAAGAGCGGGACCAAAGAGCGACAGGCACGCTTCACAAAACGCCCGAGAAAACAATAGAAAACAAGGATTTTGCGTTCCAGGCAAAGGTTTTTTGAAGAATGTTGAAGATACCCCTGGCAGATCAGAAGATTCTTCCGCGCTGAAGCGTCCTGAAATTGGGCCATACCAGCCAGCAGCATTGCGTCAAACTGTTCGTCCTCAGACATGCTGATCAGGCCCCGTCCATCGATGAGGATGCTCTCAGGCTCCAAGTAAATGGCATCTCCGTCCTTGATCGCGAAGAAATGACCATGACTAATCAATGACGGAGCAAACAGGTTCGTACACAACTCTTCATAAGCCCTCCCCTCCCATACTGTAAACACATTGATTACATCGCAAGCGGCTAAACATTGTATCTATTGATCCCCCTTGGTTGTCCCAGTGACCCCCAACCACTATATAGATGCTATTCAAAAAACCTGGGGAATGCAATTTCTGGATGTTTATGAAATCCTGTACCGACACTCCAAGTCATGAAATGCAATTGATTCTTTATACTTTACTGGTGGTTAAGGACCATCATGGATTGGCTCCAGACAATGCCCTTCCTAGGAATGCAAGCTGGAGTCCTTTTACTGTCTGGGCTGACGGACCGTCAAGGGTGTTCATTATGTCCTTCTATGTTCTTATTTCTTCTATATCCTTAGTTCGTTCTTCCTCCCCTTCGCAACCGACTCTTCCAGACACGCTGAAATATGACTTCCCGGCGGGAAATGCTGGAGCTCACTCACAAATCCGGAAACGGCGTTGATCGGTCAGGACCCAGAAACACTGCTCGGTCCAAACATGGCATGCGACACAAATACTGTATATGCTTATACTTATAAAGTACTCATAAAATGCTGTGTTTGGTCAGCTTATGAACAGCCTGGCTGGTCCGGTGAAATGTTCCTGCCATTGACCTTGGACCTTGCAACACAAACGGCCCACAAATTTGTATAAAAGCGGGGTTCACCTACAGGAGAGAAAAATATTGCGACAACAAACGGGGTCTGCTCGGCCTCCATGATTGTTTGAGGGAGGGTAAGTCTATTCATCACCTCTCAGCCAAGCAAATCGGCCCGAACGATGTCAGCGCATGGGCTGATGGAGCAAGAACCCCCGATACGTCAAGGGAGAAGAACGTCGATCAACAAGGACTCGCAGGTTGACAAACAAATACCTGCCGCATTCATACGAGGCCTCCTTCGAACTCTTTCAAATCCCAGCCCTAGCTTTGACAAATGGATTGATCCCCCACAACAGGCCCCCCGCCCCCAAAACACTCTCCGGGATTGAACCTCATCGCGGGTTTGATTCAAGTCGTCCACGACCAGACCGGGCTGCCCATCAGACTGTAGACTCACGGTCTTCACCAGGTCCACCCGTCATACTGGTCGACGCCAGTCGTTCATCAAACCCGCCCCATTTGGATGCGTCTTTCAGTCGTTCCCTCGCGCCGGACCGGGACCGCCCTGGACCCACAAGTGGTAGAGAGGGTATGGATGGGAACCTTTGGGGTGAAAAACCTCGATCTCGACTAGTATACATGGAGTCTACCATAAGTCCGCTGGTTATGGAGTCTACATGGAGTCTACAGTATGGTTATGAATCAGGAGTCTACCATCATCAGTCCCCTCATCAGTCCGTGCAAACCCTCCAAGGAGCTTGCAGCAGGTGCCCGATGGGCGCGCTGAAGGTCAGGATGCTGGAGGAATCCGACTCCACGTGGACCTCCAGGAGCTCGGCGCCTTGGAGAGCTCTCTCCGAGCGTCTTGGACGCGAAAGATGACCAGCAAGTACATGGTTTTATGATATGATATGGGACACTTTATAAGGACAACTTGCAATTGTTTCCAAGTCATCAGCTGCCAATTCACTGTTTCACCAAGTTTGAAACAGTTACACGTGTGTTCTTCCAAGTGCAATTTCGAAGCCTGCATCTCTGGAGATGCCACCCACTTTCTTGTTCATGTTCCTCAAGTGGGTATGCCATTTCCAGAGCACCTGGACTCCCCTCGGAACGACATCGGCTTCTGACCCGCCCTCCGACCAGCAGGGCACCAGACAGCAGGTTGTTGGCCACACGAACCTCGATGGTCTCATCCTCCAGCGCCACGCGGCAGGAGCTGTTGCTGCTGCAACCCACCTGGAGATGGCCAGAGCCAAGCCCTTCACCGATTTTTTGGAGGTGATACACCGAGAGACGTTCTCTTGTAGACATGGCACGCAGGGGGCCCAAAAACGCCCACATAACTTCGGCCAGCGTGTGGAAAAGTTGCGAGCTAGGCCGGCGGCGTACCCACGAGCGACTCCTGTGGGGCACAGCTGTTGTGGCATGTTTGTGCGTACAGCGCTCCTGTTGCACTTTCACCCACGCTGACACGCCAGAGAAGTGGTGGAAACTGAAAAATGGTGATCAACATGGGAAAAACCACTTATGCCGCAAAGGACTCGGCAAACGGGTCCCATGCCTATGCGGTCTCACCTAAGACAAGCAGCAAACAACATCAAACATGGAACATGATCGCCTCCATGCCATGATGGGTGGTCCAAGTCCAAAGACTGAGTTTTCCGATGCGGGGGAGCTAATCCCCAAATTGGTTATATGAACGATGTTATCCACTTCTCCTGAGTACAGTAGGACCACCATTCCACACCATCAGCGAAGCACCTTGTAAGCGCTGCTGCTCGGGGCGCTGCTACAGCTGCTGCCCTTGTCCAGCAAGCGCAAACGGTCATCCACACGGAAGCCCCAGCCTGCCAAAGCCACCGGAAGCTGTCTACTCCACTGCTCTGAAGAGGTACGGTACACTAAGGTAGAATGCCACTGCAACTAGACCAGAGCCACCTAGAAAGGAGAAATACATATATCATGCATCACATAGAAGAAATATAAATAGTATTTTTATTGTCTTACTTGAAATCTGTAGGGGGACTTTGCCACGATGAATGGCAAGCCATGTCATGCCGTGTCTGAGTTGATACGTCAGCCTCGATCCGGCCCCTTTTTGAACAAACATGTGCCAGAAAGAAAAAGGATGCCAAGGGTGTAGGACCGCCAATGGCTCCAAATCATTCGAACACCAATCTTCTATAACTACGTGATGAAAAACCAGCATAGTGTAGCACGGCATAGCCAGTCAATAGCTATACTACTCTGACGAACACATCACACGGATAAGTGGATGGCACCACCTATTTGTAAGGGAAAACATCGTCTTCCTTTCGGGCCACTCGTCTTCCTTTTGGGCCCATGCCATCCACTTCCATGCTAGTCAATAGCTTTACTCCTTACATCTCCTCACCCTCCCTCCAACAAACATGGAAGCTGAGTGCTCACCCCTTCGTAGAGGAAAAGAGTCTTCGGGGGGGCCCAAGCTCCACTTCCATGATTGCTTCAGGGAGTGTAGTGTCTTTTTTCTCTTCTTCCAGATCTTCCAGATTTGTGTCCCCCACCTTGGAGGTCCTGTAGGCCCACCTTCTGCCGGGTCGGGAGCACCCAGCGGTGACCCGGCTGTGGCCCGCTCACCTGCAACAAGCCCAAGTAGAACCTGCCGAACGAGTGGTTCAATCGCTTGAGGTCCGCAAAAAAGCTGGGAACTTGTGGTGTTGCTGGGCACGTTCTTGAGCTTTCCTTTTGGGACGGGTGCAGAGGAATCTCTTGGAATCTCTGAGGGGTCGTTGGATGAAGGAACTCCAAGGGTAGGCCCGCAGCTCCGTCGCGAGTGTTTGATGATCTTTGTTTCTCTGGGAAACAGCCGGCAAAGAAAACGGGAAATGGTATCCCTACTCCTTAGGAGGGGGGGACCACCAAAAATGTAACTTGCATTTTCTGGGGGGGGCGCCTGAAAATGTAAATGTTACATGTTAGGACAAAAATGCAAGTTACATTTTTGAGGTCTATAATTGTAGGAAATCAAGTGCTTTTCATAAAAATGTAAGCTGATAAGTGTGAGGAGTGAACAGCAGGGTGTTCTCTCGCATTTTTTCAAACTTCTCCCCTGCGAGTGCTTGTACTTATGAAATGTGTGGTTCATAAGGAGTTGGTCTTCCCATATTTCCGGGGCATTGTGCATTCTGCTGCGGAATCCTTGGTGGTGCAGTTGTTGCGCTATGCAATGATCCATCGAGTCTGAGCAGGGTACCAATTGTCACCGCCTAATGATCACTGCCCTCGGTTTCGTTTTGTATCACCATAAGTTCATGAACTTCTGAGCACATCAGAACCGTAATTCGGTCAGTGCCCTGTGGCAGCACGCGTCTCTAGACACCACAGCGTCTCACCGACAGTCATAACCGCCAACCCCGCCAACCCAGCACTTCCCGCCCCGGGCCATGTTCCAGTACACGCATCGTCCGTCAGCTGCGCACAGTAGCAAATCACAAGCGTTCCAGCCTGAAACAGTGGGCGAAGGAAAATCAGGATGCTGTTCCATCAAATCATGGCACTTAGGAGCGCTTAGTAACTATGGCTCGCTGCTACTGGTCATGTAATCTTGGAACATCTCGGCCACATCCAACTTTCGCACACTACACTCAAACACCTCGACGGAAGCGAGAATTACAGGACCTGTTTCTTGTGGCTTGGTGCCACATGTCAACATGGCCACCTTCTGGGCCATGGGTGGATGGTTTCTAAGAACCTCCAAGTTCCACACCCTGAAAAACCATGGCCCGGGCCATGGCCAAGCGGCCGGGCTCGGGCCGATGTGTCCCCCTCCGCGGCCTGCAGCTGAAGAGTTGGGAAGCTCAAGCGTTGGCTGAGCTCGGACGTCTCCCCACGGCCTTCGGCCTAAGGTGCGGGTGGGTGAGGTGAGTCTGGAAGCCCTTCCATGAACACATTGCATTACATTACATGTTATATATCATGTCATGGGACCGAATGTGTACTATAGCAACATAACATACTAAACATATAGGACAGAATGGGACAGAACGTCATATATACATAACATACGATAGCATCACTTAAATGATTCATACTGCGACACCCGGTGACACCCGGTGACGTGGACATTGTGGGGTGACAGTAGTATGTTGTATACGGTATAGAACTCTGTGACCAAATACCGTTCTTTATCTCATACAATAATGATAATATGTGCAGTATGGTGCAGTTGCGCAGTATTGTGCAGTAATGTCATGCCTATCAATCTTTACAGTGCATCAATGAGATAATAATGATATATGAGTTCATAATGTACATAGCTGAGTATATAAACATATACAAATTGAACGCATATGAATATATATATATATATACATAATTATGATTGTACATGTATATCTATAAAATGTATATAAACATGGTGCGCGTGCCGCTATTACAAAAGGACGCAGCGGCGTACCCTAGTCGGTCGGGCAACCATCTTCCAACATCTTCCAACCCTGTCCCAACAATGGTGAGCAACCCATGTCCTTTCCTCCCCCCTGGCCTACGGGCCCTACGCTACGAGTCCTCCGAGCGAACAAATCGTCGAAAACTCCAAGGCCCTTCAGCTGCTGCATGTGTTTTGTGTCCGAGGAAAGGTCCAGCGATATGTTCTCCCACTCCCACCACACGAGGCACCGTCTGGCACCTCCTTCCTCACCTTATGTATGCTCAAAAAGATGCTGTTGGAGATGCCAGGCGGTTGCTCAACTTGATCAATCTGGTCATCCCCACGGTCGATTCCCTACTGGCCCTGCTCGGCTCGTCGCGCAAGGCCCGTAGGCTCCGGTGCCGTCACCCAATGGTCCAGCCAGGCTGCAACGAGATGATCGGAGCGGCCGCAGTCCTGCTGCAGTCCACCCATCAGCTTAGCCCGGCCACTCTTCCTTGGGCATCTGGGTGAGCTACAGATCTGAGTGCATTGAACTACTCCAAGATGGTCAACACCTGAAATTGTCAGGGTGCCTGTAGCACAATTTAGTACATCATTGGATCATGCTTGTAGGGGAACGTCATCTGAACTGTCCACACGTTTCAGCTTAGATGTGAATCTTCAGATTAGCTTTGGGAGAATGCAGACTGAGGAAGTTCACTAGGCTTGGCCCAAACATACTGAGGAAGTCGTTCACCAGGGCACCCGAACTGTCGAGCAGTTGACTCCCAGTGGCATGCGGGCACCCTCCCAAGCTGTTGAATAGAAAGAGTGAGAATTGGTTCGCTCAGCTGTTCAATGCTGTTGCTCTTCTCTGGCCCCGGAGCGAAACGGACCTGACCTCATAGCCTGAGGGTCTGTACCTCATAGCCTTCAGCCAGGCTCACCACTCCGGCCTGACATCCAGCTGAGAAAAGGACTGACCAAAAAATAGAACTAAAAATATCGGCAAACGCCCTCAATAATACATTCAAAATGTAAAGAATATTTAAAAATGCCCTTAAACTTGAACTCTGTGTCTTTTGCATGGGGAGGAAGATGTGGCAGCCTCTTCTTTTCGTACAGTACCTTTTCTTGCCACCCTTAGTTTCTGACACCACTGTGCATGTTGGGTCACTATGACAAGGAGATCTCTCTTCATGCTGTTCCAGATGTGCTAATGCAAACGTATTCCCTTGTCCGTGATGATAAACCGCCAGCTTGCACGAAAGTCCAACTACTATGGATGTCCAACTGCTAAGACCAGCACTTAATCTTTATCATGAATCATGGGCTCAATTGGGTTCATATCTTGGCAGTGCCCCACAACCAGAAAAATGAAACACCCAAAGGTTCACTTCTTCCTGGCTGACCCTCTTGCCGCTCCAGCCACTGCCACGTGCCATTTTTCTCAGGGTCGAAGCTTAAGCTTGTCGCGTCGCGGAACATGGCGGTGACACATGTGGCCCATCGAAGACGGCCATCCCCGATGGGTTGGAAAGTGTTTTTGATTGTTTTTGTCTCATCTGGTTGATGCAGTCACACGCCACGCTCGATCAACTGCAGAATTTTCACAATGGGTGGATCTGGTGCAAGGGGATACCTATCAGAACACCACTTCCGCAGGAGGAAACCACTGTTTCCAGCATCCTCACTGGATCCTGTGACCGAGCTCTTTAACTGGGTGCTTTGGCTCATCTTGGATCAAAATGTCGTTTCTCAATGTTGCTCACCGAGCTCTTTAACTGGGTGCTTTGGGTCTTGATGGGATGGCTTTCCAACCTCTTCAGCTGGGGCATTCACAACCGCGCGAGCGCACGCGATCTGAGTTCGTGTTCCCCGGAGGGCGCCTTCGCGTCCCGGGACGGTGAGACAGGCGGCGTGCGCCCCGGGGACCGTGAGGCAAACATCCTCCATTCATCCCGCTTCGGGGCGCCGATCATCAGCTTCGGGGCGCTGATGTGTTCTGGCTTTAGTTGATTCTTCGGGGGGGCGCAGACCCCCCCCAAAAAAAAGGGTTCTTTACAACACCCAGCCTCCCAACCAAGCTGCATGTGCTGCCGTTTTTCGGCCCCAAGCTGTGGATCACAAGGCCCACAAGAAATGGCCGGGCTCCTGGTCCCACTCTTCGGTCGCCTATTGATGCGGCTTGCTCGATGGCCTCACATGTGGCGTCCGAGGTGGAAAGGGCGACAGATCCGGCGGCGCAGGCTCCGGCAGCGTGACCTATGGCGGAGTGGACCGCTGGCGGATCGCTCGAACGGATTTGGATGCCCTCCCAATTGGGGTCAAGGTTAGACTCTCGGTGGATTTAAAGATGTTCATGAAAGGTGAAGTATGGTGCCAAATGGTGAAATCATGCATCAACAGTCCCCCGGAACAACACTTGATTGACCATCCAGCACATCCAGAATGGATTTCCACCAGTTTGGGCCACAGTTGACTTCGATACGAATAACATCAAATAACGATGCATGCACGAGATGATACACATCGTGGAGACCGTGGGGAATAGCGGGGGCTCTTAAGGTGTGATGCTTTTGAGCCTCCAATGTGGGTTGCCACGAGATGGGCCACTACCCACAAACCCACAAATACATATCAACACGAGAGCACCTACAAAAGTCAAACCTGCAGCTCCACAAAATACATGGATAACAAAGGTTCCACTAAGAGTTTTCGGGGTTGGTGCCATCTACTCTGAACCACCACAATAATTATGTAGCTATACAGGAACTGATTATAACAGCACGACTTCATTCTTAGCCAAAATGTTCTATCACAATGCCAACGCGGCGGCACGCCGGTCCGAAGAAAGGTTCGGAGAGAGGTAAGGAGGCCGGGGGTGTCCATGTTCCACTTTGTTTGATTTAAACAGTGCTCCATCAAGTTCCCGTTGACCACTTGCTAGTTGCTTCATTCTTCACAAACACCCACCCGGTCTTCCCTGTTTCCTCCATCGCCGGGCAAGCAACGCCGGTCAAGATCTCCTCCATCGTCGGACCCACCAACTGCAAACGCTCAAGGACCTTCCTCTGGCGTGCCCAGAACTCCTCGCCGCGGTCGAGCACCAGCCTGTGGCGGAAGTTTCAGCTCAGTGCCGCAAGACGAAGGTGATGTGGGGTGGGCCCCTTCAAGAGAGTGGAAGGGCTCTCCAAACCGGCCTTCTTGATCCTTGCTAGGGGGGTCGAACCCAAGGAGCCTTGCAAGCCGAGCGGTCGGTCGGATGGCCGAGTGAGTCAACCGAGCAACTCCTCTTCGGCATAGATGGGGTTGGTGGCCACCACGAAGCTGTAGGGCCATCCATGCCTGGTTGGTACAAAAAGAATTAAGTCCAGTCAGTTGGAATCCATCATCCCTAAATATATAGTATCCCTAGTAAAGGTTTCTGGGTTCAAAACTCTGGAAAAAAGACTCTGAAACCACCACCCAGGTGCACATGCACATCCACAATCTGCACGTTCGCCTCTGCCGGCGCCAGCACCATCTGCTCGTAGGACGAGGCACAGATGCTGCTGGCCGCCAGGCTGGCCGCTATGGGCGAGTCAGGCCCCCGAGACATGGGCGCTGACATGGGAGGTGCGAGCGAAGGAGGTAGAGATCCTCAGTGCAAAATCTGCCCCACCCGCGACCGACAGCAAATAGAACAAGGCCGAAAAGTGAATGTCCGAACGTCGATTTTTGGAAGCTGCAGGCCCGGCAGGCCCCCCCTTGTAATGAAGAATCGCCCTTCGTGATCCCCAAATCCGGTCAGGTAGGATCCAGGCCCTAAGCAGAAGTAGGTTGCTGAGGCAACCTTTCGTGATAAACCCTCCCCATGTGAATTGAACAAGCTCTTAATATGGACATCCCTTCACCCCTAAGGAGCTTTAATTGGACACCCTTTTTGGGGGGTGCCCTGCTATGGGGGGGCTTCTTGATTCAGCGAGTCAAGAAGCTCACGCACACCGCCGCTCGGCGCCTCCGCTCGCCCGAGCCGAGCGGCGGGAGTTGATGCGGGCCATCGCCGAGCGCGCCGGCCACAGGGGCTCCGAGATCAAGGACTGCTCGGCCAGGGAGGCGTCCGAGGGCGGCGGCAGCAGCTGAGCGGTGCGGGCTGCGGAGGTGGTGTAAATCCACCGCAGGCTCGGGTGGTGAAGAGGGTGGTGAAAAGGGTGGAAAAGGGCCGGAACAAAAGGTGGAAGGTGAGGTGAGGTGAGGTGTTCGGTTTGAGAATTTGGGCTGCCCCCCAGGTGGCTAGAACATCTAGAAGCTTGCCTCCAAAGGGATGCAAAAGGACATCTAACACGATAAAATGATGTGATAAATTGTATATGTGATGCGCTAATATATCAAATAAAATATACTCATATGTTTTGTCTTGTAAAGTACTTCCAACAAGACCATCAGACCATCAGAACCTCCCCCCCGGCCTCTGAGAGCTCCAAGGGGTCTTCCCGACGATCACGCAGGAAGCGCAAGCGGTTGGAGCTGCCCAAGGATAAATCCTCGAGTGACCAACATGGGACTGAACCGAACATTTATCCGAAGTGAATCTATATAAGTGCAGCTTAATATGGAATCCCAAAACCATTGGGTTGTAGAGGGAAATGGTCTTCCACCGGTTAATTCTCGGGTTCCATGTTAGTTTGCGGGAGAGTAACATGATTAACATCTGGTGTTTCTCCTCCTCGTTGTCAAACGGGTCTTTGAAAGGTCGAAAGGTGGGGAATGGGGCGTTCAAAGGGTTGAAGCATGGGGCTTTCACGTGCGAAGTGGCACCTCAGCGACGCGAGGCAGTTCTTGTAGGAATCACTTGGTGATCGAGTCATGGTTTAGCTTTTGTTCATGGTCACATCGAAAGTGACAATCATGGCTGGTCTGTTAATGTCAAGAAACCTGGCGAATGTTCATATCACTTTACACTGTCCGCAGGGTCAGTGGCACATCCCTGAAAGTGATCACTGAGTGGGACAGCGGTTCAGCCTTCACTAAGCAGGGGCCACAACCTGGCCTTTCTGGAAGCATGCGCAGGTAGCTTTCTTGGTCAACTCCACTTCCACAACTCAGGCAACACTTGAGACTTGGGGGAAAGAATCCCTCTTCGGATTCTTTTTCTCCAATCTTGCTTCAAGAGCCGATTCCAGGCTTCTAAGAGTCACAGAGAGACAGACACAGAGAGAGAGAGTCAAGAGTGTTCTCAATTTATCCAGATAGATGGGCAGAATGAAAGAACAGATGCTTCCACATCTCCACCCGAGCACTGGCTACAGGCTTGCCCCCCCCCAATCCAAGCACCTTCTACATCACACAACAGTGTCGAACACATCACCTTCTGAGAAGGTACGACTGGATCCCTACAGTTCTCTATGACAGGGCAGACCCAAAAAAGAGACTGAACCCCACTCTTCGGGCCTTGATGGGGTGTGCCTTAGGGCCTTGCCGGGCACCGAATGGCTCTCCAAGCCCAAAGAATATATATATATACAGTACATTTACTCTGCGGGGCGGTGGAGAAAAGAGGGAAGAACCTTGCAGTTGCAAGAGGGTGTCTTGGATGATCTTGGATGTCTCAACCAAACCTGGCCCAATCATGCAAAGCCTCCGTGTTGAATATACTCTGCGGGAGATCTCTCTACGGCACTCTCAGATAGATTGTGGTGGGAAAACCTTTGGCTTCATGGCGAACATCCTCTTCCAGGGATGTTCATCTCAGGTTCCATGTTTCCCCTTCGGGGGCTGGCTCTTCTGTGTTCATATTACGCTCCGACTCACTGACATGGAAGTGGAAAGCCCCCATATTAGAGAAACTGGGTGTAAATATATGTATGTACAAATATCCATAGGCATGCGTATTTAATGTGTTTATGTCGAACTACTGTCTCCAACGTGTGGGTGCATTCCTCAGGCGGTCCCTGGGTCATTCAAGGTCTCAGGT